TATATATATAAAAAAAACTCATTATGTTTTGAATGTGAAATACCAATTTTAAGTTTTAGCTTTCATCTTTGATTCCACCCCGTTGTAGGAAACCACTTAAGCAGGCTTGCTCAGCTGCAAGCCTGCAGGCATTTCCTACTCTGCCTAGTGAAAGGGCTAACCCTCCTCGACACACTCACCACTACACCAGTGATTCTGAAGCAACATCCTGACCCTTAATACTGTCAGTTTCGAGCTCTCAAGCTGAAAAATCCTTGATAAGGTGAGAAGATGTCACTGGAATCAGTTAAGATGATGTGCCTAGAGTTCTGCAATACCATTTGCTAAAGTTTTTTGTTTTTTTTATGCACCATTGATTGACAGAAAAAAAAAATCCTTTTTTTTTTTTCTCCTTTGCTTTCCAAGTCTCTCTGTGCAATGACCAACTCTTTGATACTGTCACTTTTTCCAAAGTAAACCATCCAAGCCCCTCATGTTTCAGCTTCATGGGGGGGCTCATGTCTGTTCTTGGTTTGCCACCTTCGAAGGCTTAGGAGAATGGTGTCGTCATAGATTCATGCGCAAGTGCTCAGGTCGTTTGGAGATCATGGGGAAAGCTTGTTTTTTGTATGGCCCAGAGTTTGGCTGCCGGATGGGAAGTGGTGCTGAAGCCTCTCCACAGACTGTCACATCCATTTGTTCTATTCCACTCGTCTCCATTGGGTATTCCACAGGTGGCTGAGTGGTCGACGCGCCGGCAGAAGCACCTCTTCCCCAGAATTCCCCAGGGGAAAACTTGACAGGGCTTGAAAACAAGAAATAGAAGAAAAAACAAAGTCAGAGATGGAGATAGAGCACTGAGGTGTATCTGTTACTCTGCAGGAAGCTCAACTCAACTCTCTACAACTGCCTCAAAGGGGGTTGGTTGTAGAGAGGTGAAGGATTGTCCCTTCTGTCATGTCTGCAGGGACAGGACTAGAGGGAATGGACATCAACTGAGACAGGGGAGAGTCAGAGTAGGTATCAGGAGAAAAATTTTCCATTAGGCTGTTCAGGCACTGGGACGTTGCCCAGGGAGGTGGTGGAGTCACCATCCCTGGAGGTGTTTAAGAGGTGTCTGGATGTGGTCCTGAAGGTTTAGTTCAGGGGTTATAGCAGTGACAGTTTAATGGTTGGACTTGATGATCCTAGAGATCTCTTTCAACCTTGATGATTCTATGGGTTTATAATTCAAATGCCTTTGAGAGGCATTTCTAATTCTTCCTTCCACTGCTAGAAATTTGAGACAGTTTCCATGTCCAGCTTCTGCCATGGAAAGCAAAACTCTCTCACTGAGTTGTGAGGATGTATTTCTAGATCACTGCAGAAGGGATTTTCTGTACTAATACAACTCTTTAGCAGCACAAAGTACTCAGTATGCTCTGAAATGGTTTTAGGGGAATAATGTACCAAAGTCACCAGGACTGAGGTTGTATCAGCATGGAAAAGCAACGAATCAGTGCTTCTTGTGCTGCCAAACACCATAAATTTGTGTTTAACGAAGCAGTTTGTAAAACAGGATTGATCCTGCACTCCTAAGAGTGAGAACTTACTGATTTCAGACTTCCTGAGAAGCAAGGCTGCAGTTTTTATTTCTAGTGCAGACTTATTTCAACTCCTTATCAAAAAGTATAAGAAAAAATCGAAGAGCAAGAAAAAGAAGCAAACCAAGGTACCTGACAGGTGTCCTGGGGCTCCCTATGAATCTGCGAGGGGATCGGATTTTTGGTTCAAAAGAAAATTTCTCTTTTACACTTTCAAGTACGGATGGAGCCACATAGGTAAAACCCTGCAAGACAAGAGAGAAGGAACTGAAACTCCCAGGCAAGATTTACAGCTACACTTGTGCAGTTAGGGTTGTTACATGTGAATTTGGTGATAAGAAAATGATAAAAAGCAGAGTAAATGCAGACACAGGAACTCGACTCCCTGAAACAAACAGAGATTTTAGGGAGTTCCCAGCCTGGTGTTACACCCCAGTTATTTCGACTCAGAGCACAGATTCCCACAGGCACAGTCAATTTAATTCCTTTTGCTCTCTGGACTGGACATTGTTCTCTCTGCATGACTGTGAAAGCACTGCCATGCCCAGTGCTCCTAACACAGCTCTGCAGCAGAACGCTGATGTTTCACAAAGGAAGAATCATTTGGTGGGTAAAGAAAACTTCAGCAACAACCAAAGCCCATAAACATGTCACACCAGAACTGATTTACCTCCAGTCCCCCCTGTGTGCAGTAACAAACCTCACCCCTGGCTCACTCACCAGAAAGACCTGGTTGGCACTTTCACTGAGAGTAGAGTCATCTGGGCTATCAACAGGTGTCTGACGTGTAAACTTTGAATCAAACTGGCTCACATCCTCTTCAGATTGCTTTGCAAAAACAAAATGATTAAGGGTTTATATTACAGATATCAACCAAATGGCTTAGCGATGATCAGTGTGGCCTCTGGCTGGAGTTCATTCCATAGGTTTTTGGCAGAGCTCTGCTGGAGTAAAACCCTGGAGTGGTGTCGGAATCCTGTCGCTGCCAGTGGGAGGTCACTATGGGCACTGACACTGAGAAATAAAGGCAAGGGGGAGGGGCAAAAATTATGGATCAAAAAGGAACACAAATTAAAAAGATGCCTTGAAAAATAAAATTAAAAAAAAATTCTCAAATTACAAACAAAAACTTTTTAGAAATACAATGTCAGTTTCCTTGCAAGTTTAGCCCTCGGTCACAACCAGTATAGAACAGTTGTAACTATGAGTTTTTGGAAGCCTCTCCAGATAATTTCATCCCAGTTTTGCAGATACAGAGATGTTTATACTGTGAGGGATAAAGGACAACTCTGGAGTCAGTGACTATGAAGAATATTGTTTCATTTGGACAAAGAACAACAGTAATTCCAAGATCCCTTCTCCCATTCCTCAGTGTAGCTGGAAAAGGAATAACTATTCATGTGACTATGCAACCATAGAAGCACATTGGGAAAAACCACCTGGTTTGTACAAGTAACTTTCATAAACCTGCTAATACCAGAAAACCCCAAAACTGTAGTCAGATAATTAATTTGGAACCATCAAGTTTTGTGTCATTCTGAATGCCATTCAAAAGGATGAGGGGGGGAAAAAAAAGGTGTGGAGTCTCTGGGCTGGAGATTGCTCAACATTGGTGATGCCTAAGACAGTTGAAAGTGAGAATTTTAGTAGGTGGAAAGGAACTATTGGGGTGGCAATACCCAGTGCTGCTGCAGCTAATTGTACCCAGAGGGAAAACAGACACCCCACACCATCCAGACACAATGGGAGAACAGAGACTTTTTCCTCACACTGGTTTGAGCTAAGCTTTAACTACTGCACAAGATGTGCAAATGTTAATAAGCAAAGAAAATGCTAAATTAGGGGATTTCATTTCCCTTTGCTTGGCAACTGTTTATTATCTGAGTTTCAGCTAAGTCCTGACTTACTGCTTAGGGTTCAGATGCAGAAATTGAGAGTGAATTGCACTTGCAAGTCTGTTTAACCTGCAGGTTAGAGGCAGGAGGAACTGACACTGATCAGGTGGGAGATCAGCTCGGCCATCTGTGGCAAGAGTTGAATCTGTCACCTCAGTTTAACCTGTAACTACAGTACCAGGAATCCATGGCACTTAGGGTTGTGAAGTGACTGGTTTTAAGTTTTAGATTCCACATTAAGACCTTTCCTAAAGGCAAACAAGGAATAATCTCCCAGCATTCCCAGTACATACCAATAGGGGTTTAAAAGGAGGTTCCACCTTTCGTGCCAACAGCTCATCCCAGTTAATGTGTCTGAAGAATGGGTGAGCCTACAAGAGGTACAACAGCACAGAGTCAGCATCTGCCTCTGGGGTACAAATCACAGGCACTGAGCAATTAACATCTTCTCTGACCCCTTCTCTGGGGTCTTTCTGTCCAAAGTCACATAGGGGTCTAGTGTAACATGTTCTGCAGCACATCAGAGTAGCTGGAAGAGCTGAAAATTGATCCCACACCTCCAAGTCAGACAACACACATCCCTGAAATGTTTTCCTTGAGAATGTTAAAAAAGCCAGTTTCCATGCAGAATAACTCTACATTCTCAGCTTTAAAAGTTAGGTATCTAAAAATCATGGCAAAACATTGTATTAATAACAAAATATCAGAACTGTGAAATAAGAAGGACTCTCTAATACTTTGTTAATGTCACCACCAAAAAAAAAAGTTAAGCTGGAAGCAACAGCAACTAAACCTCTGTCTTAGATTTTAGTTATGCCACATTTAGCCCTTGAAAGAGGTAAGTGCAAGGGCAGGTTTTTCATCAGACTGCCACGAGTATCAGTGCTCTCCCAGAGCTGCACAATTAGCATTGTGCAACTAGCAGGAAGAATAAAAGTTATTTTCCAAATCTCAAATTACCCAATAGGTAAAGAGCTGCTTATGTTAAGCTTTAAAGCACTCAATCTTGATCAGCTGTCACATGTGGCTGCTTTTCTGCTCATCACCCTTCAAGACAGACTCTCCTTCCTTGATGTACCCTCAAAGCTGTTTGATTTTCAATGAGGTAATTCAAGAATTCTAAGTGCAAAAGTTACCTGAACTTCTCCAGCATCTCCGGGCCCAGCTCCTAGACGTGAGGCAGCATTTCTTTTTAGCAGCTTGATGAGAGATAACATCCAAAAAAGCAAGATTAGTTGTGCTGTTATGACTAGCCTAGTTCCTGACATGAATCTTCACTTGACCGAGTCCCATGCAGAATCAACACAGAACCATCACAAAATCTGCATGAGTTAGAAAACACTTGGATTTTCAAGGAAAATCACTTTCTGTCCCACACAGCACAAGACTGAGCTGTTTAGTAACACACCAAGCTTGGACTGAGCAGCCACAGTGGTATCATTATGTTTCTGGTTGCTACACACATGTGCAGTACTGGCAGTCACTGAAATTGTACCTTTTTAAGCAGATCTCTGGCTTCTTGTGTGAGGTAGGGAGGCAAGTTGAGTTTACACTTGAGAATCTTGTCAATTGTCTTCTTTCTGTTCTCCCCAGTGAAAGGAGGCTGAAAACAATTGGGACAGGAGGGAAAACAAGGACTGGTTCAGATCTCTTATTTGTGTACACAGAACTCACTTCAGATATTTATTTATAAAGCAAGTGAAACTACTGCAAATAGAACTTGCAAGTCACTGGGTAACAGCAGCTCCTGACTGCAGTCAACACAACTTGAGCTGTGTTTTAGTTATTACAGATTATATACTTGCAGTCTGTACCTATGTAGTTTGTATGAATTCACACATGCATCTGAATTGGGATACAAGGAACTACAAAAGCTACAAAGAGAAATACATGCAATTATAACTGTGCACCTACTGCTCCAGTCAGCATGTCATACATTAATGCCCCCAAACTCCACCAGTCCACAGCACGATTATGCCCACTCCTCATCAAGATTTCAGGGGCCCTGTAATCAGAAAAAAAAAATAAATCAAAGTTACACAAGTATTTTAACTAGTTTAGTATTGACTCCAAGTTTTCAAACAAACCCCCACATAGCAAGGGAAAATTTCCTTGATAAATGTGACTGAACACATGAACCAACAGTTAAACAAGGCACAAATTAGCCACTACCCCCAGCCCAGAGTAATATTTTCTGTCTCATCATGCAGCTCACATGTATTCAATTGTTCCACAGAATGTGTGTGTGACTGTTCCATCATGAATAGATTCTTTACACAATCCAAAGTCAGTCAGTTTTACATGACCTGAAATTAAAGAGATACAATTTAAGACTTGTCAGAATTCTGACATTTGGATAAGTAACATTAAAAAAGAAAAGGATTTTTAATGTGGATATGTAGTAATTCTGAACTACTTCCACATATCTTCCATGGTCTGACAGAGCAATACAGTCATAAAACAGAGTGAGGTAATCACACAGAGAGAAAACCTCTGCCTTAGACCTGCATAACAAAGTGTTAGCACTTGAAGAGAAACAAAAGTACCCCAAAATTCATTCACAAATGTATTTCAACATAAAGATTGCACAGCATCATTCAGCTCCAAGTTGGCTATCAAATGTTACTGCTTTCTTTAAAGTTCACAGACTTCAACAAACTGCAGTGCCTTGAATAATTCAGTACAAAAACTACACTAAATAAAGAAGTTAAGAAAACATGAAAAGAGTGGGCGGTACAGCGTGATCAGTGTCACACAGGCACTGTACAGTGCATTCAGGAACTGAAACTGCTGTCAGGTGAAGTGTCAGCAGCAAGGGAAGTCACTGCAGCCACAGATGATGTGGCACCCAAACTGCCTCTCCTACCATCTGACTAAAATGTCACTGAGTCTGTGCTGAAGACACAAACATTTATGTACTTTACAACGATCCAGCAGAAGAACAATTCCAGAGGTGCAGAAATAGCAAGTCAAACATGCAAAACATGCCTGGCTCTATCCACTTGGAGCTTGCTGGGGCCTATTAAAGCCAAAGCAACTGTGTTGGAGGGCAATTAGCTTTGGCAGTTCTTTGGTTATAGCAAGAGTGATAAGGAACCTGCCATTGTTGTAAGGAAATTCAGATACAAGTGAGGAGCTGTGACCTTTGAAGGACTGTTTTCAAATGACTGGTAACCCAACTCATTACTAGATTTCTACCTTGATGATTAAGCATGATATTTTCTGGCTTCAGATCACGGTAGATGATTCCTTTTTGATGCAAGTGCCCCAGTGCCATTGAGATTTCTGCCAAGTAAAAGCTGAAAGGAAACATATGCCACAAAATTAGACATATTCAATCATGCAAAACATCTTCAGCACTAAGACTATTATGTACATAGCAACAGCTCCTTCAAAGGATCATTAGCAGTGTATGAAAAAAGAAATGAGAAACAATGATGCCTTTGAGGCTAATTTGCCTAAAGTCACACAGAGTCCAAGAACTACAAACTGATGCCATAAGCATTAGGTTTACCTATCAGTAGGGATCTTATACTGAGTATACTTGGGGCAATCTGCATTTGAAAATGAAGCTTAGAATAAAGCCATTACAGGGACTTGGAAATTCTGCAACTGGTAAAATTGTGTGTGGCTCAAGAAAGAAAAAAATTTGCATTTACAGCAATTTACAGTTTTTTCTCCAACACCCAAAACACCTCCTTGACCACAGCCCTATGGAATAGAGCCTCACTCAGCAACCAGCACTGAACTCTGGGGTGCAGTTACACCAGCACAAACTGGTAAGTACAGAACACAGACATCTTCCCCAAAGCCAGTGAACTGCTCTTTTCACTACACTACGCAATGAATGAGTAGTTATATATAGTTTAAACACTTGGAAAAAAACCCAAACTATTAATTTACAAAAATAGCTTCACTTACCAAGCTGTGTCTTCCATAAATATCCCTTCTCTCTCTAACTGCATAAATAGTTCTCCTCCTGTCATGAGAAAAAATAGATTATACTCAATAAAAGTATCATTTTTAGTCACTCAAAGTCTGTTTTCCAGGAAAAGTGTAAGCAATAGGTATTTTTTTCCTGCTGTACAAATTGTTGTTCCACAAAAAAGAAAACCAAATGAAAACTCACTATTCTGTTACCCTCAGAACTGCAGCAACCTAAAGCATCAGATGCTGAAAAAGCCAACTGCATTTCTGTCCCTGTTTTTTGTTATAGCTTGAGAAAATTGCTTCTAGTCTGTGTGTTTCCCCAAGCCTGAAATACAGAGGGACTAAACCTCTGCGACTGTACAGAATCTCAGTGTAACATACAAACAGTACAAATCTACAAAAATGGAAACAAGAGTATTAAAACCCTCCTCTGCTGTACTGTCATGAAAAAGTAATAATTTTGTGTTTCACTCCTCTTCATTGCATTGAGTTACAAAGCTTATTTCTGTTGTTCTATGTATTTTTAACACTAACCTACTTTATATTTTAAGCCCATTGTTAACTGCCCTTTCACACACAGGGTAAGAGACCCAAATTCCTGATTGTGTAAGACACCAAGAAGCAGGTAACAATTTCATGTACTGACCACTGAGATACTCAAGGATGAGGTAGAGTTTTCCACCAGTCTGAAAGGCATAAATTAAGTCTACGATGAAGGGATGTTTCACTTCCTCCAGTATATTCCTCTCTGCTTTTGTGTGTGCTGTATCCTTGGCATTCCTTACAATCATTGCCTATAAAAAGCAGAGATAGGTGAGCACAACATGCTAAACAAGGAGCACTTTTATACTGAATTCATTAAATCACAGCACTACATATGAGTCAGAAATATCATCAAAGACATGAAATTTCACAATACATATATACCATGAGAGACATGACATAACATAACTCGCAGAAGTTGAAGCCTTTATTTATTTCACAGAACTACACAATAATTCAGGTTAGGAGGGACCTTCTGACCTATTTAAATGAGCTACTAAGAACTACGTGGACAGAAAATGTTGAATTCTAATTTCAACTGTACCTAGGTAACAACTCTGTGCATAATCAATCTTAGTTTTAGGTATGTTAAATTAAAAAAAAAGCTAAATGGAAGGATAGATTTTTTCAAGATTCAGACAGGAGTGAAATGTGAACATTACCTTTTTAAGAACTTTCATGGCAAATATTTTCCCAGTGTTTGCTCCAGTTACTTTTCGTACTTGAAACACCTAAACAGCAACACAAAACACTCAAATATTACAGCTGCATTAGCTGTCAGAAGTTAAAAAAGGACAAGTTCTGCAAAAGAAGAGGTGAAATCATCCACAAAATACAACACTGCCTGAAGAGAGAAGTGCTAATTGGAACCAGAACCAGTTTGGAACATTTCCAGCTGGCGAGGCTCTGCCAGGGACCTTGGTCCCACCACAGCAACCTTGGCAGCCCTGAGGTTACCCTCTGGCAGAATGAACTTTTCAGAAGACAGGATGGAAAGCTCAGAGCTTGCCAAGGGAGCACTTTGACAGAGTAATAGATTTTCTCCTGGAGAAAGGAGCTCCTCACCTTGCCATAGCCTCCTTTGCCAAGCACACGCAGCAGCTCGAAGCACTCCGGTCGGATCTTCTCTGGGCCTCTGTTCACACTGGTCTCTGAAATCTCAAATTTTTCACAATGCTCCATGCCACTGGATAAAACCAAAACAAGAGATGTTAGACCACCTGATACTCAAAAATGACCCCATGAAAGCAAACAAATGTCTCCCTGGAAAGCACAGCCTGTGTGACGTAACAGAGAGCTCTCAGCACCAGAGATGGTATTTAGCTGTGTGCAAAGCTCTGAGCTGCAACTTGCACAGAGCTTACCTGCAAATTTGGAGCACTTATAGGATCAACATTTCCTTCAAATCCCTTCATTTTAATGCATAGTACATCTCTGCACTACACCAGAATTAAGTTTAGAAGATCAAAGCCTCAAACTGACTTAGACACTTCTCCGAAATCTCAAGGCAAAGCTCTCAGGTGTGATTAAGTTTCAGATCACATTCAGCAGCTCTAACAGTCATGGTGAGGCTTCCAGAACACAAATATCTTGCAGAAAAAGCTGTAACAAATGAAGTCTCATCACTCTGAACATGCTGAAGCAATCAGGGATCTGTAAGGGAAGGCAGTGCTGAAGGTATCTATCCCCTAACCCCTGAATTCTCCTCTGCTCACACTGCTCTGCACATCTGCAACCAGAGCCTTGAGAGCATGACCAGGACACACAGTGCTCTGCAGACACTGCACACAGCCACATTACAAACACTGCTCAAGTACAAGAGATTGGTTAGGACAAACAAGGATTAAAAGACAAAAAAAGTTCCACCAGAACTTGGTTTTATTATGATTATTTCACTCCAAGATACAAATTTTAAGGTGAAGAAATAGTGAAGTGTCTAGAAACAACTCAAAATTGAACCAGAAGGACAAAAATTTCTATTTAGCTTAACAAATGCAATAAACTTAGAAGTTCTGTGCAGTTGGCATGAATGGTACAGAAATACAGAATTATCTAGCAGCAACTTACAGGTCATATTGGCCAACTCCTCCATGGTCCATACTCTCACTTAACTGACCCTGGGGGTAAGAAGGGTAGAAGAAAGATTGAATTATAAAATGAAAAAAAAAATCATTAAAAATAAAGGCACTGATGTGGTTTACAACTTGGTATTAAAAACGTACATCCGTATTTACATTTATTGTATAATTAAACAGATCTATCAGCAGAAGGTAAAAAAACCTACAAAACTCTGTGCAAGATTTGCAATTCTCCCACACATCTCAAACAGTGACCAGGGAATCACTGTCTTACCTGCCTGCACTGTGAACTGTTACTTCATCTTTAACACACCACTGAACTATCAGAGGTGCAATTTCACAGCCTCAGGGGAACTGGGAAAGTGTTAAGGTGCTGCAGTTTTCCTTCTAACTGCTCTTACATACAAATTTTCAAGCCCTATTGCAGTGCTATGCAAATTAGAGCAATCACCAAGATTATGTGATGAGATGAACTGGGATTCATATGTACTAGAAACAAATAATCTACTGAGGTTTTATTATTCTATCCTGGTAATAATCCAAGCCAAACAGTAATGAGAGAATTCAGCTTTACTCTGATGTTCAACACCTTATCTGACCAATAATAATTCGACAGATTAATACATGCAAATATTCCTAAAGAAGGTTCAAGCACTTCAGCATCCCAACCAGTCACCATTAAGGAATGTAGTTTAATTTTGAAGAGATATTTTCTTCAAAGAATTTTCAACTTGATCCCTTCTGCAAGATAATACTTCCCTCTCACTGTGGCTCTACATGGCAAAAGAAGTGCAAAGCAAGCAGACAGCTGGAATGAGTACAAATAGAATTGGATGGGAAAGCTCCTAGGGAGCTGCAGATTATACACTCCCAGCTTTTATTTTTAACAGTATGTACATCAAATAACAACTGCAAGTTAGTGGGGAACAGCCTGGAACCTACAGGTTGAACGTGGAGGATTGAGCCATGTGTGAAATTCAGAGAGCCACAAGGAAAATCAGCCCAAGCCAAGGAGAGTGTTTAAAATATTATCTAAGTGAAAACACTAACCAAAGCAAACTAGAAACTCTCAACAGCTTCCAAAACATTTAAACATGAAAGTTCACAGAGGCTGGTTTATTTTGGGTGAATCACAGGGGAATTTAACTCCTGGTTCCACCTAGGAGCACTACAGGCAATTAGGGAGTCCAAAAGATCAAGTTTGTTTCCAGCTCACAGAGTTGTCAGTTCATGTCCCCTGATGACATTTATTAGAGAAATCCAACTTATGGGCATCTCTTTCACAATAAAACCCACTGAAGTTGCCCTTGGCCTCACTCTTAGATGCCAACAAATGAATTTTAAAAAAACTCAGCAAACACAGAGGATAAACATCCATCACGTTCCCAGAGCAACTCCTCACGTTACCCAATGGCTCTGGCAAACTTTGCATGTGCTTCTCTTGCTCCTGTGAACTTTGGGTTTCATTCTCGGTATGAACTTGACCAAAACTCACTTTAAATACCACTCTGCTATTTTCAGGGCTCCTTCTCATTTCTCAATACCAAGAAGGGCAGTGGAGACAGCAGCCCCTTCAGCCTATACATTGTTTCATTCAGCACAAACACAAAAATTAAGGTTGACGGAGTTTTTCACCATAATAATTAGTGCAAACCACCACGTGGCCTTGGAGGAAACTCTGCATTTAAACCATCCTTCAGATTCCCTACCATGGCTGTGCCTATCCCAAACTACAGCTGATCTGTGTTCCCATCAGGCTTTTGGGAAGTACCAGGGATGAGACACATCAGCCCTGACTTCACACCTTGCTCCCTTCCAGGTTATTGATCTGAGCTGCAAAATCTTTCTGCACCTTGTGGGACACACACACCACCTACAGAGAGAACTTCCACTGACACATTCTCTCCCTCACACAGAATGAATCAGCTTGGGAAAGACCTCTGAGATCATCAAGGCCAATTTATGTCCCAACAGCACCTTGTTGACTAAACCATGGAACTATGTGCCACATCCAGTCCCTCCTTAAACCCCTCCAGGGCTCCTGGTGTTCCCCTTCTTCCCTGCTCTTCTCTTCTGATTCCAAGTCCATTCTCACCCTGTTACCTGTTTGCCAGAAGGCACCTGAGAACCAAAGGAGGTTTCCCAACCTCCATCCACTGTTGTGCCATAAAAAAACCTCACTCACGGCAATTTTTTTTTTTTTAGATCCACAATAACCAATGAATGGTTTAATTGTTCCCCAAGACTGAATTATTGGAACTGAAGGCAGAACAAACTCAACTTTCTTGCCACCTCAGAACCTGTTCTTGGCAGCACCAACTGTGTGATGCAAGTGACCTTCTGGGAAGCCAAGTATGTATTGATTATTGAGGTGACACACAGAGCTGTTTCCTGCAGGTTGAGACGCTCTGAGCTGTCAAACACTGTGTCTGCATGTAGTGTGGGTAACAGA